TTTAAAACACGTTTGTATGTATAAACATAAAGAGGGCATCGGCCGCTTTCTCCTCTTGCAATATGATTTGAAGTGGCATTCTTCACTTGCAACAAGCGTTTACAGGCAGAAACATGGACATTTTCAACAGCATTGTATCTATCAACACTCCACACTTCAGACCCATAAAGCAGAATTGAACTGAAGATTAAAAAAATCCATATCTAATGGGATAGCTTTTAGAACATACAGTGACTTAAAACTACCATACATTACTTTATTCGCTTGAAGTGAAGCATTTGCAATATGATTCGACCATGTCAATGTCTTCGAGAAGATAACTCCAAGATATTTGTGGTATGAAACATTGTCAGTTTTCGGACCTCTGTAATACGTCACAACTTTTCTTTTCTTTTAAGTTTTACAGTTAAATGATAGTCAGTACAAAACCGTTCCAGTGTCGTAATAAGAGTCTATAAACCATACACAGTGTCGGAGATAAGCAGAACGTCGTCAGCAAAAAGTAAGAGAAGCACTTGGACTTAGTCGGGATGTAGTTGTATACCACGAGAACATGGGGATCCAACAGCATAAGCTCGTGCACTTATTAACATGGAGAACACATATGGGCTTAAAACACAACCCAATGGACATTCATAACTCTTACACATGATTTCGCGGAGTTACAAATAGACTGCAAAGCATTTAACATCTTCGAGAAAACACCCTATTCCTTAGAACACACCACAATTTGGACATATTTACCTAATCAAAGGCTTCTGCAAATTCAACAACCGCACCATAACCTTTCCCCCTCTCCCTGGACAAGTACTGTTAAATAATTGCTTGCAAAATAAATATGTTATCAACAGTGCCATAACCTTTTCGAAAACCAGCTTTGGATTCTTCAAATTTATCATATGCATTTGACCTAAACACATGTCTTTTAGTGAGAATGGATGTGTATAAATTTCTAAGTACATTGAGCAGTGTCATGCCTCAAAATTATTTGGATCTTGTCTGTCTCCACTCTTGTGAAGAGGAAAGATAACACTTTTTGTCCATGAGGTCGGAAAGTATGCTGTCTCAAATAAAATGTTAAAATAAATTCAAGATATGGTATTATCATATCAGACGAGAACCTGAAAAACTCGGCAATGACATTATCCATACCACCAGATTTGGAAAATTTCAACTCGTATATTCTGTACAATATTGTCTCTCTGCTAACGGACGAGTCTAGAATATCTAAAGTGAACTGGTCATAAACATCACCAGTATCACGAGGGCATTCAATATCTGGACGGTTTGTACTGAAAACAGCCTTAAAGTGATTATGCCAATTGTTAATAGAGATTGGTTGGATAACACTTGACTGTAATGAAAATAGTTTAATTGACCACCAGAAGTCTTTGGCATTGTGAATGTTATCTATAATTCTATTCTTCATAGAGTCCCAGAACTGTATTTTATTTTCTCTTAAAACGCTTGAGTATCAATTTCTCCCTTTAAGGTAATTGTCAAGTGCAATGCCGTCTCTATTTAAACGAAACAGTTTTAACAGTCTATCGCGTAATAGGAATGGATATGGTCTCATCCTCTACGACCCCCACAGTGCCTTGGGACCTTATATGGTCTCATCCTCTGCGATCCCGACATACCTTGGGACCTTATATGGTCTCACCCTCTGCGACCCTCACAGTACCTTGGGACCTTATATGGTCCCAGCCTCTACGACCTAAACAGTGCCTTGGGACCTTATATGGTCTCTTCCTCTACGACCCCCACAGTGCTTTGGGGCCTTATATGGTCTCATCCTCTGCGACCCTCACAGTACCTTGGGACCTTATATGGTCCCAGCCTCTATCACCCTCACAGTGCCTTGGGACTTTACATGCATATAGTCCCATCCTCTACGACCCGCACAGTGCCTTGGGACCTTATATGGTCCCAGCCTCTACGACCTAAACAGTGCCTTGGGACCTTATATGGTCTCTTCCTCTACGACCCCCACAGTGCCTTGGGGCCTTATATGGTCTCATCCTCCGCGACCCCGACAGTACCTTGGGACCTTATATGGTCTCATCCTCTGCGACCCTCATAGTACCTTGGGACCTTATATGGGTCCAGCCTCTATGACCCCCACAATGCCTTGGGACCTTATATGGTCCCAGCCTCTATCACCCTCACAGTGCCTTGGGACTTTACATGCATATAGTCCCATCCTCTACGACCCGCACAGTGCCTTGGGACCTTATATGGTCCCAGCCTTTACATCCCCCACACTGCCACGGGACCATATATGGTCCCAGCCTCTACGACCCCCACAATGCCACGGGACCATATATGCCCCATACATGTACATCCCCCACATTGCCATGGGACTCAATATATGGTCTCGATCAAATGTCCCTTTTCAACTTTGTGTTATGATATGGAACTCAAGAGTGCACAAACTCACAATTTCATCCATCATCAGCCCATTAATGTTAACTTTAGCATACTGTCATGCCTATATCTGTATAATCAGTGATGACTCCAGGTGTTCGCAAAAAGGGTAAACATGCCCTGTCAGGCAGCACCCGCAACTCCCACAATTTGCAGAAAAAAGTAAATGTTTCTCGCTTGACAAGGAACGTTCGGATTGCAAGCATATCATTAAATGACCAGTCACGAATTAAATGAGACAGCACGTTTATATCATAGCAGCTATACGTGTATTGTCTGCTTGTTGTCATACATGCCAACTCATTTCGACAAATAACTCTAGTTTTTCGTTTTGATTCTTAAATATTATTCATACAAATGTTTTACTTTGCATTATTTGAACAATAATAGTTATGTTAATATTATTATACATGTATGCCTTTAGTGTGTTTCAATATTGAAATTTGAAATATCCACATTCAAAAACATCTTCATGGAAACAGGTGTAAATATCTTTAAGAAAAGACAGCTCCATGGTTGTGAAGGCAAAGATCTGTCACAATATCAAAGGGCAAGGTCAAGAGAACACATCATCTCTTGTGTCCACGATCAGCGCCGTGAAATCCCCAACATCTTCTCCCCTTGGGGGAAATGAGCGTACTAAACTGCCGGGCGAAAGAATGTACACACTTGAAAATTTGATTTGACAAAAAAATGAGAGAAAAACATTTACTTATTAAAACGTTATAAGGCTGAAAACAGTCCCCGAATCACTGCAAACGTGAGGTCTACAACACAACTATGATACGCGTATCAAATACATCAACATTGAATAACCATTCGGAGGTTTGATACAATCACACGTTGGAGAATGTTAGCCCACTCGTTCTTTGTGCATGTATTAGCTGTTGAAGTGTATGTGGTTCTGGATGACGCTGTCGTTCGGGGCGATCCAACTCCAATGTGCTGACCTGTGAGGACCTGTACTTTCAATTTCGTAGGCCTAGGAATGCTGCTCTTACACTGTTGTCTGTGGTCTAGCATTGTCACTTTTAACAGTGTAGTTAGCATCGTTAATAACCGGAATCAGTGACTCAACAATGAAAAACACTATCCTCAATGAATGACTGGACACGATAAAATAAATTACTTTTAGTTTCTTAAACGCTTTATCAATATATGCATATAACGACTATGTGACAACGGAGGCACCACGTTATCTGCAAGGCCTTGTTCAGGATTATGGATGGGAAATGTGTGTCAGATGAGTCTGATATAATCTTGTTCTATGCGTCGTCCGTCACGTGAGCCCGACCACACCAAGGTAACATGCCAACTGCACTGGGTGTTCGAACCCGTGAACTATGTTATCACCACATAGGTAGAGCGCGTCGGTTACCCAATGTTTAGATTGTTTGTTTATAGCAACTGTGCCGTGTTATCACTGAATAGTTTAAAATCCGCGAAGATCCTGGTTGAAATAGGTCTTCAGCAACCCATGCTTGCCGTAAAAGGCGACTATACTTGTCGTAAGAGGCGACTAACGGGATGGGGTAGTCAGGCTGGCTGACTTGGTTGATGCATGTCAACGTATCCCAACTGTGTGGATCAATGCGAATGATATCTCGATTATTTACAGAACGCCGTCATATAGCTGGAATATTAAATAACTGAGTGCGGTGTAAAACAACCAACCAACCAACTGAATAGTTTAAAGAAGTAAATGAGTGAGAGGTTTTACGCCGCTTTTGTACCCATGAATAGAATAGAACAGGTCAGCGGCATGACGAGGACCTGTCGATATATCTGGAGGTGAACGATACTGAGTGAGTGAGTGAGTGAGTGAGTGAGTGAGTGAGTGAGTGAGTGAGTTATCACCGTTCATCGATCTGTATGTGATGGAGGTTGACTTTGTTGAAAGTCTGTTGAAATGTAATGAAAGTTCTGGATGCAAATTTGAAAGCATGGTTTTGGAATGTCAGGATTTTCCACGATGTTGGAGTGAGTGAGTGAGTGAGTATGGTTTTACGCCGCTTTTAGCAATATTCCAGCAATATCACAGCGGGGGACACCAGAAATGGGCTTCACACATTGTACCCATGTCGGGATTCGAACCCGGGTCTTCAGCGTGACGAGCGAACGCTTTAACCACTAGGCTACCCGACCGCCCCCCACGATGTTGGAAATATAGATGTTTTCATGTGTCTGTTTAAACAGATGTAAAGACATGTAAATGTACCTACACGAGAGCCGAAATCCTTAACTCACTTTTCAGTTTTCGTGCTTCATATCATGTCAGAGAGATATCTGGTAGCAATAAAAGCAGTAAACATACTCAGATGTTTACACAATTTAGATGTAGTTGTCATGATTTGCATACCAGAGCTGCCATGTTTCATAGGACGAATATCACGTTGTCATTATTTGCCCAGAATACAGTAATACAAGACCCCAGTACGTTGTAATCAGGTCCTCTTAGGGAAAGTTTCTGATCCTAATAGAGATTGATGATGAGAATCTCCTATTTAAGCCATCGATTATTGTATCATATATTTCACAAGGTAACAGTTCCATTGTGAACAAATACAAGTGGATGCAAGTGTAATGTTTATTATATAAAAGCACAAAATCTCTAATTTACATATTTCAGGAAAATATAAAATTTCATATCCATTCCGATGACCTTTTTCTTGAGACTGTTTACAAGCGAACATGTCCAAGTAACACATGTTAGAATGCCATTTTCTGATTAAAGAACAAAATTACTACTTCTTAACAACATGCTTACAGGTAATATAACCTTATTCCATAACAACATTCCAAACAGGATCTCTTCCTTGGATAAACACAAAGTTTTGTAATCGTCAGCAGTATCCTGTACATGTCCCCGACAAATTAACATCTAGTGTCCATATGTGAAAGTATACACATAAGCATAGCTTATTCAAACATCCCCGTTGCTCAAATGGGATAATCAGGAATGTTGCCCGTCTCTATGGAGAGAGTGCACTGTAGAGGAACTGCATGCTATCACGGATGTCTCCAGCAGTTTTCCTGAGCAAAACCAGTAACCTGCGGTATCCTAGCCTTTTCCGCTCAGGTGGCTTCACTGTCGCTTCCATCGCTGTTGTTTGTGCTGGTGTGACAGTTGTAGGTTCCATATCTAAGCACAGACTGCCGTCCTTTTTGTCAGGGAACTTATCACAGTTCAATGAGGTCGGCCAAGTGAAACCAAACGTGTTCATCAGACTTTCACAATCACGTTTACTGTCCTCGCATATGTGCCTACACGTTGGCATGGTGCCAACCAGTGGACTGCAGTAGGGAAAATACGTAGAACACACGAGAAACTTGAGACTGCTAGAGCACTGAACTTTTATCATTGGATGGAACTGATGTGCTTCAATGGCTGCGTCATCCAGGTTTCGATGATGAAGAAAGTTTGGGAAGCTGGTTGTATTGTAGGGCATGTCCGAACACAAAGGCGGTAAAGTCGTAGGCAAAGAACACATACCTTTATGGTTTGGAAGCCTTTTACGTTGAGGTGTCCTTAACTTTACTGTTGTTTTCATCGTTGTTGTTGTTGTCGTTGGTCTGATGGTTGTAGGTAGCATATCTAAGCACAAACTGCCGTCCTTTTTGTCAGGGAACTTATCACAGTTCAATGAGGTCGGCCAAGTGAAACCAAACTTGTTCATAAGACTTTCACAGTCACGTTTACTGTCCTCGCATATGTGCCTACACGTTGGCATGGTGCCAACCAGTGGACTGCAGTAGGGAAAATACGTAGAACACACGAGAAACTTGAGACTGCTTGAGCACTGAACTTTTATCAATGGAAAGAACTGGTGTGCTTCAAGGGCTGCGTCATCCAAGTTTAGATGATTAAGAGAGTTTGGGAACTTCGTTGTATTGTAGGGCATGTCCGCACATAAGGGAGGTAAAGTCATAGGCGCTGAACACATACCTGCATTATTAGATCTTCCTTTTGCCATCAGTGGGTACAGAATGAACACAACCGCCAGTCCACATGTTAGTCCAGACATGATGATGTCAGATTTGACCTCGAGAACCGCTGAGATTAATCTATCTGTGGGTTTGTTCTGATGTTGTATCTTCTAAATGAGGCAATTATTTACGTCCTTCTCTTATGTCTGTGCTGTTCTCTACCCTCACGCGTCAGGTTTTCCAACTACAGCTTGTCGTTCTGTTGAGGTCAGGTTACTGACATCTCAACTTGTCTTCAAATAGAGAGAAATATTTACGTCTCTGGTAAACACTCCTCATTCACGTAACATCAGTATGGCGGTCATACGTCAGAAGCAATGTCAATATCGCTATCTTGTAACTAGGTAATACATACATTGTAACACTGGTTATTAGTTTACGGGAACCTTTCAGTTGTAATATTACCATTGCAAAATAATCTCCATTAGCTCCAAATATTGGTTCAATTATGTATCTCATAAAAACTAGTACACTCTGCACCATTGTTTAATATTGTCGTTCCGCGTATCATGAACAGAGGGTGACTCGAATATTTATGTTGGTCCTAAGATCACTGAGCAAGCGAGATGTAATTTCATATCTACGAACGAGAGTGTATAGGGTTGGTGTCAATATTTGTAGTACGTATCAAAACTATACAGTTCAAAACATTTGGGTCTTTTCATTGCTAATATTTAAGCATGAACATCTTTGTCCAAAGAGCAAAAATGCTAAATGGGTTTTAACTTGTCTTAGCTCTCAACTTCTAAGGTGGATGACCAGAGAAAATCGGGAATATTGTATTTAGTACTCTTATCTTTTCAATTTTTGACACATTTTCTTTTCTCCAAATGCGAAAAAAGTTTTCTTTCCTTTTTTTAATCAGCACACAGTTTAGCTGAAACAAAACCCTTTCCATATTCTTAACAAATCTCTGCCAAAAGCAGGGTAGATTGTAAGATTTAGACTATATCATGAACATGTGTTTGTAAGCCACTATCAAACAGCCATGATAGCATCTGTTCGCTGAGAGATGAGCGTTTCCACCAACCGTCATCAACACATGCAAAAGCAAGTCAGTGGTTCACCTGAGAAACACGGAAACATATCTTACAAGACAAAATAAAGAATTGCACCAGATATCATTCTTGTCACTGATGCGTCAAATTCCAAATGTCCCCAACATGTCTACCATTCAAGATTCTCAGTTGTATATTTAACATGTTCAAGTCCTGTAGCTACGTCACCTTACTCCAAGCAAATGATCTCCTGGTCTGCTTTCAAGTCACATAAGTGATAAGAGTTTTGTTCATTTTACAAGTTTCTGTTTTCAAGTCTTGAATGTCTGATCTCACTGACTTAATTACTCTGAATAACTCGGTTTGCAAAGCAATAACATCGTCGTCACCGTGTTTGCTATTATCAGAAATACTCGTAATATTCCCTCCGAAAAAAGGCCTCTTCAAAGCAGAGACAATAGACGTGGCAAATAGGAGTGTGGCCTCGCCAAGATCACTGTTTCTATTGATATAGCAGAGAGACTAGATAATGATCATGTTGGCTGTTTGTTTGACAAGATAAACTCTGAACGATTCTCTTGTGATAGGACCATAAGTGCCTTTAGGAAAAGGTTATGAGAACTATGCTCTATTCTGGGTTTGTTCATACTAAATGGAAGAGCCAGGTCAGACTCAGGCGCTGGTGACTTCACTTTCATAACTTCCGTGGGAACCAGCGTTGTCGACTACATCATCGTGTCGGGTGGCTTGTTTAAATGGTGTTCTGACTTTAATATCCATTGGAGGTCGGACTCTGACCACCTGCCAATCACATGCTCTTTCCTCTCAGATGTACACGAATAACGCAGAGAGCATGACTCCCAAGACGTGAGCCCCCGGGTTCACAAAACAAGTACAGGTTTGTCTGGAAACAAGAACACAAAATTGAATTCCGTTCTGATTTCTTGTCACAGGACACAATCGACAAGTAACAACAGTGTTGCGACAAAACACTCTCCGATATTGACGCGGCAGTTGTTCTTTTCACTTATGTTTTGTTTGACGCTTGGAAAAATAAAGTTGTAAAGAATCAAAACATTCATTCCTATTACAGAAGTGAACGCGACAGACTCTTAAAACTATTTCGTTTACATAGAGACAGCATTGCACTTGATAATTACCTTAAAGGGAGACATTTGATACTCAAGCGTTTTAAGCGAAAATAAAATACAGCTCTATAAAGAATAGAATTATAAATAACATTTACAATGCCAAAGACTTCTGGTGGTCAATTAAACTATTTTCATTACAGTCAAGTGTTATCCAACCAATCTCTATTAACAATTGGCATAATCACTTTAATGCCCTCGTGATAATGGTGACCAGTTCACTTTAGATATTTTAGACATGCCTATTAGCAGAGAGGAAATATTGTACAGTATAAACAAGTTGAATTTTTTCAAATCCGGTGGTATGGATAATGTCATTGCAGAGTTTTTCAGGTTCTCGTTTGAAATAATAATACCATATCTTGAATTTATTTTAACATTTTAATTGAGAGAGCATACTTTCCAACCTCATGGACAATAGGTGTTATCATTCCTCTTCACAAGAGTGGAGACAGACAAGATCCAAATAATTATAGAGGCATAACACTGCTGAATGTACTTAAAAAATTATACACATCCATTCTCATGAAAAGACATGTGTTTTGGTCAAATGCATATGATAAAATTGATGAATCCCAGGCTGGTTTTCGAAAAGGTTATGGCACCGTTGATAACATATTTATTTTGCAAGCAATAATCCAACGATACTTGTCCAGGAAGAGGGGAAAAGTTTATGTTGCGTTTGTTAAATTTGCAAAAGCCTTTGATTTAGTAAATATGTCCAAATTATGGTGTGTTCTAAAGAATAGAAATATTTCTTCGAAGACGTTAAATGCTTTGCAGTCTATTTGTAATCATGTGTAAGACGTTTATGAATGTCCATTGCAATTGGGTCTTTAACAGGGTTGTGTTTTAAGCCCACTTGTGTTCTCCATGTTAATACGTCAACTAGCTTATGCTGTTGAATCCTCATGTTCGCATGGCATACAACTACATCCTGACCAAGTCCAAGTGTTTCTCTTACTCTTTGCTGACGACGTACTGCTTACCTCCGACACTGTGTATTGTTTATAGACACGTATTACGACACTGGAACGGTTTTGTACTGACTATTATTTAACTGTAAAACTTAAAAAAAACAAAAGTTGTGACGTATTACAGAGGTTCGAAAATTGATAATGTTTCATACCACAAATAACTTGGAGTAATCTTCCCGAAGACATTGACATGGTCGAATCATATTGCAAATGCTTCACTTCAAGCGAATAAAATAATGTGGTTTTTTTAAAGTCCCTGTATGTTCTAAAACCTATCCCATTAGATATGTTTTTTTAAAAATCTTCAGCTCAATTCTGTTTTATGGGTCTGAAGTGTGGAGTGTTGATATATACAATGCTGTTGAAAATGTCCATGTTTCTGACAGTAAACGCTTGTTAAACGTGAAGAATGAAATATAGATGTTTCCTCGTGTCTGTTTAAACAGATGTAACGATATGTAAATGTACCTACACGAGAGCCGAAATCCTTAACTCACTTTTCAGTTTTCATGCTTCAAATCATGTCAGAGAGATATCTGGTAGCAATAAAAGCAGTAAACATACTCAGATGTTTACACAATTTAGATGTAATTGTCATGATTTGCACACCAGAGCTGCCATGTTTCAGAGGACTAATATCACGTTGTCATTATTTGCCCAGAATACAGTAATGCAAGACCCCAGTGTATGTAATCAGGTCCTCTTAGGGAAAGTTTCTGATCCTACTGGAGATTGATGATGAGAATCTCCTATTTGAGCCATCGATTATTGTATCATATATTTCACAAGGTAACAGTTCCATTGTGAACAAATACAAGTGGATGCAAGTCTAATGTTTATTATATAAAAGCACAAAATCCCTAATTTACATATTTCATGAAAATATAACATTTCATATCCATTCCGTTGACCTTCTTCTTCAGACTGTTTACAAGCGAACATGTCCAAGTAACACATGTTAGAATGCCATTTTCTGATTAATGAACAACATTGCTACTTCTTAACAACATGCTTACAGGTAATATAACATTATTCCATAACAACATTCCAAACAGGATCTTTTCCTTGGATTAACACGAAGTCTTGTAATCGTCAGCAGTCTACTGCCATGTACACGGCAAATTAACATCTGGTGTTCATATGTGAAAATATACACATAAGCATAGCTAAGTCGTTGCTCAAATGGGATAATCAGGAATGTTGCGCATCTCTATGAAGAGAGTGCACTGTAGAGGAACTGCATGCTATCACGGATGTCTCCAGCAGTTTTTCTGAGCAAAACCAGTAACCTGCGGTATCCAAGTCTTTTCCGCTCAGGTGGCTTCAGTGTCGCTTCCATCGCTGTTGTTTGTGCTGGTGTGACAGTTGTAGGTTCCATATCTAAGCACAGACTGCCGTCCTTTTTGTCAGGGAACTTATCACAGTTCAATGAGGTCGGCCAAGTGAAACCAAACCTGTTCATTAGACGTTCACAATCACGTTTACTGTCCTCGCATATGTGCCTACACGTTGGCATGGTGCCAACCAGTGGACTGCAGTAGGGAAAATACGTAGAACACACGAGAAACTTGAGACTGCTAGAGCACTGAACTTTTATCATTAGACGGAACTGATGTGCTTCAATGGCTGCGTCATCCAGGTTTCGATGATTAAGAAAGTTTGGGAAGCTGGTTGTATTGTAGGGCATGTCCGAACACATAGGAGGTAAAGACGTGGGCGCTGTACACATACCTGCATGATGAGATCTTCCTTTTGCCATCAGTGGGTACAGAATGAACACAACCGCTAGTCCACTTGTTAGTCCAGACATGATGATGTCCAGATTTGACCTCGAGAACCGCTGAGAATATTATATCTGTGGGTTTGTTCTGATGTTGCATCTTCTAAATTAGGCAATTATTTACGTCGTTCTCTGATGTCTGTGCTGTTTTCTACCCTCACGCGTCAGGTTTTCCAACAACAGCTTGTCGTTCTGTTGAGGTCAGGTTACTGACCTCAAATGACTGCAAATGGAGAGAAATATTTACGTCTCTGGTAAACACTCCTCAATCACGTAGCATCGGTATGGCGGTCATACGTCAGAAGCAATGTCATATATCGCTATCTTGTAACTACAAAGTTCACAGCATTGTGAGGGGCTATACCAATCAGGCTTTAGAGTGGGCGGCTAGTTTTGTTAAGTGTATAAAACTTTTGAGTTGAGGACAAAGGCCGATGGGATTTGAATTTTTATTTCAGTGCAGTCAACAACATAGTGCTGGGTCTTCCAGCCAAGGAAACAGTGTCAGAAAAAACATAATACATGCTACACATTTTGGTGGCACTGGGTTGATCAAAATATAAACATCACTTGAAAGTATCACAGTCAGTAATGAAAATTTAATATTGCATGAAACGGGTCAGTTCTAGTTCTTGATACTCCAAAATTCTCAAGAGCCAGATGGTTATTGAGTAGATGGTTCTCCCATTGTTCAACATGGACCTGCATCTCCTTTATTTCAAATTGTGCCTCACACCCCACATTCTGTGTGGAATGATCATACCCTTCAACCTCATCCATCAGGTCCATCACACCTCCTCCTGGAACCAGGTTCTCCTCACACTACAAACAAAATAATACTGATTTAATATAAATGTTTCATAAATAAAGTAAAAAGAATTAATTATAATGCAATCTTGATTTATGACATATATTAATACACATATTATTATAGTGGATAGTTGTAAATTCTTACATTATGACGTTCTGGCCTATAGGATCAAGGGGGGCTTCCTTGGTGTTGTGGCCACAGTCCATGCAAATATGGATGGGATTGTCCCTGATTTCAGTATTCTTTGCACAGGGGCATACTTGCATGTTTACAACACACAAATCAAGGACTGAAATTTAAAACATTCAATTCATTCAAGTCCCCAAATTGATTTTTAATTTGTGAATGAATATAAATCGTAAAAGAATCCAATAAAGCATAAATTAAAACAACTGTAACTGTTTTCTACATTATTTATTTATGTCTGTATATGCATTCATATTAGCTTTATATGTGTAGTCCATTTCCAATCTAGAAATATGTATATTCTGACCAGAATAAATGTAATTGTTTGAAAGTCGATATGTTATCGTCATGTGACCTACATTAGTATAAATATTAGTTCCCGGGTGCCGTTGTACAAAACAACCTTAGACCTAATTTTAAGACTGTCCATATGTTAAGGTATGGACGTTACGATCACCGACACGCTAATATCGCTTTGTACAACGACACCCAGGATATATATATATATATAGATCTATACATCTGAATTATATATGATAGTATGTAGGATTAATGTGACGAGAAAAGAAATCAAAATTGTATTCAGAAAAAGCACGAGTACTTCGTACTGAAACGTCATGTTAGCTGCGATAAAATCAATAGTTGATAAGCGATATTCGCTCATCAGTTTTGCAAAAACATGAATGAAAATTATTACTTACGGTGAACAACTTCCCTATAACTTGTCGGATGGCTGCCAGTCATCGTTTCCGCAAAGATAAATCGACCGGAACAACGATGAAAACTCATAGATTTATCTCACCTCGCATCGGAAACGCATTCGAGGACACGGCGATGCTCCGATGCCATTTTGAAAGCTTGCGGGGATAGCCTCGTTTTGGAGTTTGACCCCAGGGTCACGCATAAATATTAAGAGACGGCTATGGTGATGATTTTACGTGGATATTATCAATGAGGAAGTCCAGCATTTCACGTCTTTATTTCTCAGTAAACTTCAGACGACATTTGCTTATATTTGTCACAAATTGTCCTGAACCTCTCAAAATAGATACGTAACTGTATCTGCGGTCATAATTATTGTAAGATAAGCCTCATTGATCAAGGAATGAAGTTTTCCCTAAAGTTTGTTATGTGGGATAGTTGAAAAATAAAATATGTTATTACTGATGCTTGTTCTTTGCAGATTTATTTCTGAGTTAACATACTGGCCTTACATGTACATGTGGTATTATTGGATATTTCATTTATACCAAGTTCTTTGAACAAACAATTAATGTAGTGATGTTTACATGATAATGGTTATGTTATTTGAGGCCTTGTCAGTGGGAACAACAATAAACTTTAATTTCATTTTGGGCAGCAATGATACGCGTATCAAATGCATCACCACTGAATAACCATTTCATGTTTGCTTCATTTTTATCCACCATCAAACATGGCTTTATACTTTCTTTTACTCGACAGGTTGGTACAATCACACGTTGGAGAATGTTAGCCCACTCGTTCTTTGTGCATGTTCCAGCTGTTGCAGTGTATGTGGTTCCGGATGACGATGTCGTACACGGCGATCCAACTCGTCCTCAGATGTTCTATGGGATTCAAATCTGGCGATTAAAACGGCCACGGGAGGACCTGTATCTTGTAATTCGTAGGCCTAGGAATGCTGCTCTCACACTGTTATCTGTGGTGTAGCATTTTCGTTAGATGCCGTTGGCATCGTTAATCCGTGAATCAACAATCCTTAATGTGATGAAAAACATATTCTGTAGGTTTAGTTTATTAACCGCTTTATCAGTATAATATAACAACTCTATGACAACGGAGGCACCACGTTATCAGCAAGGCCTTGTTCAGGATAATGTAGGGGAAATGCGTGTCAGATGAACCTAGAGACGCAGCCAATTGTTCCAGTTTAAGTTTGAGGGCGAGATCAGGATTTATCTATGAAACAACTAAATATTTCTATGCTTCGCCCGTCACGAGAGCCCGACCACCCCAAGATAACATGCCAACTTCACTGGATGTTGGAACCTGTGAAGCATGTTATCTACACATAGCTTGACCGCGTCTATTACCCAATGTTTAAATTGTTTGTTTACAGTAACTATGCTGTGTTATCACTGAACAGTTTAAAGGAGTGAATGAGTGAGTAGTTTTGCGCCGCTTTTAGCAATTTTAGCAACTCCTGAAACACACTGCAACCATGTTATAGTGGGCGCATATCACGTTTTAATGAGTTGCCCAGAATACAGTAAAATAGTATAATATTTACCCAGTACGTTGTAATCAGGCCCTCGTAATGAACGTTTCTGAGACCAATACAGACTGATGATGATAATCTCCTATATAAGCTATCTCTATTGTTGTATCATATATTTTCCCAAGAGAACAGTTCCATTGTTAAGAAATACTATGTTTTTGTGACTTGTACAGCATATACTAAGGTGCGCTTATTGTAACTTGTAAGATTTGAATATGTAGCATTTGCTTATGGCCACCTCTACGAACCTGTACGCCCCATCCCGCTCTCCCACTAAACAATATTGCATGCAAGTCTAATATTTATTACATAAATGCACAAAATCCCTTATTTACATATTTCAGGAAAATCTAACATTTCATATCCATTCCGATGACCTTCTTCTTGAGACTGTTTACAAGCGAACATGTCCAAGTAACACATGTTAGAATGCCATTTTCTGATTAATGATGATCAAAATTACTACTTCTTAATCAACATGCTTACAGGTAATATAACCTTATTCCATAACAACATTCCAAACAGGTTCTCATCCTCCGATAAACACCAAGTTTTATAATCGTCAGCCGTCTACTGTACATGTACCCGACGAATTAACATCTAGTCTCCATATGTGAAAATATACACATAAGCATAGCTTATTTAAACATCCCCGTTGCTTAAATTGGATAATGTTGCGAGTCCCATTTTTACAAACAAAATTGGATGCTAAGTCTAATGTTTGTTATATAAAAGAAAAAAGCACCTAATTTAACATTTCATATCCATTCCGATAACCTGCTTCTTCAGACTGTTTTCAAGCGAAGATCATGCCCAAGTAACACGTTAGAATGCCATTTTCTGATTAACGATGTTCAAAATTACTACTTTATCAAACAACTTGCTTACAGGTAATATAACCTTATTCCAGTACAACATCTCAAACAGGATCTCTTTCTTGCGTATACACAAAGTTTTGTAGAACCGTCAGCGGTCTACTGTACATGTAATACGACAAATTAAATCTGGTCCATATGTGAAAATATACACATAAGCATAGCTTATTCTTTGCTCAAATGGGATAATCAGGAATGTTGCCCGTCTCTATGGAGAGAGTGCACTGTAGAGGAACTGCATGCTATCACGAATGTCTCTAGCAGTTTTCCTAAGCAAAACCAGTAACCTGCGGTATCTAAGCCTTTTCCGCTTAGGTGGCTTCACTGTCGTTGTCGATGGTTTGACGATTGTAGGTTCCATATCTAAGCACACACTGTCTTTTTTATCCGGGAACTGGTCACAGTTGAATTCGGTCGGCCATTCTAAACCATACTTGTTCATAAGACTTTCACAACCACGTTTACTGTCCTCGCACGGTCCACCAGTGGAGAGCAGGAAGGGAAAAAACGTAGAACACACGAGAAACTTGGAACTGCTAGAGCATTGCACTTTTGTTTATGCATAGAACATATATTATGCACTGGCTTGGCCATGCATGTTCACCTGTTTAAGAGAGTCTGGGAACTTCGTTGTATTGTAGGGCATGTCCGCACACGCAGGATGTAAAGTCGTAGGCGCAGAACACATACCTTCATGGTTTGGAAGCCTTTTACGTTTAGCTGTCTCTAAATGCACTGATGTTTTCATCGTTGTTGGTTTCGTTGTCGTTAGTGTCACGGCTGTAGGTTCCATATCTAAGCACAAACTGTCATCCTTTCTATCCGGGAACTGGTCACAGTTGAATGAGGTCGGCCACTAGAAACCAAACGTGTTCATCAGACTTTCACAATCACGTTTACTGTCCTCGCATATGTGCCTACACGTTGGAATGGTACCAACCAGTGGACTGCAGTTGGGAAAATACATAGAACACTGGAAGAACTTGAGACTGCTTGAGCACTGACTTTCTGTTACTATTACTGGCCAGAAGTCATGTACTCTAAGGGCTGCGTCATTCATGTTTTCATGATTAAGAGAGTTTGGGAACTTCTTTATATTGTAGGGCATGTCAGAACACATTGGGGGTAAAGACGTGGGCGCTGAACACACGCCTTCATGGTTGGATCTTCCTGTGGGTACAGAATGAACACAACAGAAAGTCTTCATGTTTGTCCTGCCATTATGATGTCAAATTGCCTTTTAAACACGAGAACTGCTGAGATTAAGCAATCTGTGGGTTTGTTCTGTTGTTGGATACTTCAACACAGCCTCAGAAGGGGAGAGATTATTTTTCGCTGTTCTCTTTTGTCTGTCCATTCGGATTAGTTTGCTAATACCTCAACAGATTTTCAAAAAGTAGCCACCATGTCGAGAAATATTTACGGCTCTCCGTGAATTAGTCAAATGCAGGTTTTTTTAAATTCCTATGATGTCTGTACTCTCTGAAAATGTTAACTAAATGTAGAGTTTATCATGAGGTAAACACTCTTCATCCAAGTAACATCAGTATTTCGGTCATACGTCAGAAGCTATGTCAATCTTTGTAGGTGACACTGTTTCATATTTTACAGTTACTATTAATATTAGATCTACTACTGTACAGCATACCCTTGCAAATTCCAATGTACTTATTTATGCGAGTTATCCCCCTACCTTTCTTTTACACGAACGAATTCCTTGAATGATACCATGATTTGTGAAGATTGATAAGGGCGAACATTTGTGACAATTATCAGACCTTTCGTTTTAGATTAATAGGAACTTGACTTAATCATAAGATTCCTCATGTATTTAATTTAATGTCAATGTAATATTTTCCAGTAATCCTATGTTATTCTAAAGAGAAACGTATCAACATAGGTATGTTTTGAAGTACATTACATCACTATCGATGGGTATTAATGGTAAAAAAATAATCAATGCCATTGTATAAATATATCATCAGTTCTAGGTAAAATTGGTTTCTTTTGCTTTCAAGTATTTTATAAATGTATAACTATTAACCACACCCCATAACACACGAAGTATATATAAGCGATGCCTGTATTTCATTTCGCCAGATTTTCGAGTGATGATAAATGAGGTAGCTGAATATCTTTGCTGCCGATCAAAACGTTATTCACAATGAAGAAACGTATACTTTGTCATTTGTGCCAAATAGCTTGTTTCATTTTGTTAGTTATTGAGGCATAAACTGTCCCCAGTTGAGCGATGCCACTGTGTCTGGATTATTATCAATCGATGGACTTATAAACATAAATCTACGATTGCAAGTACCACAAACGTGTCATAAATGAAAAGCACTGACACTGAACTCTGAATAAACATAACCGGGATTTCAGCTTTTCATATGACGAAATACAATGTAATAGTTGCTTCATCGGGACCTTTCATCGGTGACATGAAAACAAAAAATTATCAATCAAAGTATTCCTTGACACATATGTCATTTGACAATCTTCGTAAGTTACCTGCTTTCCAATGATAACATTTTCAGACATATGGATTACGAACGAGTAGCCAGCCGTTTTGTTGAGGTCAGTTTACAGACACCTCAACTTGTCTTCAAATGTAGAAACATAGTTACGTCTCTGGTAAACACTCATCATTCACGTAACATCAGTATGGCGGTCATACGTCAGAAGCTATGTCAATCTCGCTATCTTGTTATTAGGTAATACGAACAGTGTAACACTGTTTATTAGTTTACGGTGATCATTTAAGTTTTAATATTACTATGGTGGAGCGAAACATGGTTAATTCAAGCTCTCTTATCTCCAAATATTGGTTCAATCATGTATCTCATAAAAACTAGTACACTCTGCGCCATTGTTTAATATTGGCATTCCGCGTATCATGAACAGAGGGTGACACGAATATTTATGTTGGTCCTAAGATCACTGAACTGACGAGATGTAAGGGTCTATTCTACGAACGAGAGTGTATAGGGTTGGTGTAAATATTTGTAGTACGTATCAAAACTATACAGTTCAAAACATTTGGGTAATTTCATTGCTAAATTTAAAACATGGACATTGTTGTCCAATGAGCAAATATGCTTAATGGATTTAACTTGTTTCAGCTCTCAACTTCTAATGTGGATGACAGTAGGAAATTCGGAATATTTTATTTAGTTGTCTTATCTATTCAATTTTTGACACATTTCTGTTTGGTCCAAATACGAAAAATGTTTTTCTGTCCTTTTTATCAGCACATAGTCTATAGCAGTTTATCTTATAATTAATATAAGTGACAAAACACTTTTTGAAGCCCTGTAGAAAGAGCAAGCTCGATTGGACTTCAAAAGTTGTGAAATGTAGACACCATTTGCTGGAGCTGCAGGAATATTTCTCGACATAAAGGGCAAGTTGACTATAGGAAAGTTGATGCCATCCCTCAAGTCTAACAGTCTTGTAAAGCGTGCTTTTCACTCTAAATCTTTATGCATCGATCTAAATATGAAACCGATGAAGCGGCGTAGAATCGACTCAATCAACAAATAACACGGTCGAGAATAACCAGAATAAGAAGATTGTTCTTGCCATGATAGAATATAGTTCCATATAACTGCGCTGAAAACCGAGTAACAGATAACACAGGTATCAGCAATGTCTACAGAAAAAGTACAACACTTCAGCAGTTTCACAACTGGCAGAAAATGGAACGGGTTAGAGAAAGCAGTTCAAGGCCATTCATATATAAACACTGGTGCTCTCTGAATGCGCGTATTATGTTACCGCCTCCGTGGTCTAGTGGTACAGCGTCCGCCCGGAGAGCGGAAGGTGGGAGTTCGAACCCCGGCCGCGTCATACCAAGAGACGTGAAAAGATTACCCTGCCACGGCAATAAGGGGCTAAAGCAAGGGCTGATCGGGGTCATTATACTGTGTCTTAGTGGGGTATTCATGTAAAACTGCAGCATGGTATCTTCAGTAGGCTGGCACGATCAAATCGGCTCTGTCTGGACTAAAACAAGCGGCCACACACACTCACATGGGAATGTACATGGCTTTATAAGTGCATTAATGTTGGATATGACATTGAGCCCCATGTCACCTCACCTTCACCGTATTATGTACTTCTAGATATGATAACGAAAATTAACCATTTGTTATATAACATTTTCTATATGATTGCTTCATCAAAACGAAGGTTCTTTAATACTTTATCCCTATAAGCATATGGCACACATATGACTTTACCTTGACAATATCAACACCTACAGAAGGAAATGTGTGTCAACTGCAAATAGAAACGCAGTCATTTTATTTGTGCTGCTCTCAGATAACATTTGATATAATCTGCTTTTACGCGATGCTAGAAGGCAAACAGGCTAGCACGGTTACTGGGGTGGGTCTTGTTGAGTTGGGTTGAAATGGGGTTCAACGTCACAATCAAGATTCTTTCACATACACATACATGTAAACTGCCTGGCAAGAGAAAGTATACACTTCAAAATTGAACCTGATAAAAAATTACGAACGTCATCAAAACTTTACTTGGCTGAAAACAGTCGACGAAACACTGCAAGCACAACTATGATACCCGTATCAAAAGCAAGGGCTGACGGGCAGGTTCTAAGCTGAATAAACAAAACCAACAATTGTGAAAGTGTTTTTAATTTTAAATTGACATTTTGATTCTAATTGAACGATATCAGATCATCGATATACCTGAACCTTAAGTTGAACTTCTTGGCCAAATAACCTTGTTTTGACTTTGCCAATCTGAGCAGAAATTCCGATTTATATGCAAAAAGAGAGATCAGCAAGAAGGGGAGCACAATTAGTGCCACGTGCCTAAATGTCATGCTTGACAGGGTAGATCTTTACATTGCAAGGGGTCAATATAACAGCGCAACCGTCACGAACGGATCTCTTAAGAATGGTCTTTTTCATTTCATGGTCATCGTATTGGATTATTTGAAAAATGTTGATGTTTAGGATCCATTGTTTATTAATTACAAGCAGTCGCTCCGACAAGTGTGTGCTCTTCGAACGCGACGATAAACCAATTTCACTTTTGCTTTTTGTTTCAAATTTCACTGTCACCTGTGTGACAGTAGTGTTGATAGCTCCGGGCCATGGCCACTGTCCTACATCAGCTTCGTTGTCATGGAGCATGACGGATAATACATGTCAATAGCTATCAGATCACGTCCTTCAGTACTTGATGTACCTCCCCACGACTGGCTTGACCTGTAGACGGAGTGCTGAAGCTCAGTAACAGTCGCCCTCTTCTCGGTAGATGATTGTGTACGAATCAATAGGTTCTGTTCCTCATATCTGTGTGAGTGAGTCGGGTTTAACGCCGCTTTTAACAGTATTCGAGTTATATCACGGCGTATCAGCTTAATGTGGGAGGAAAGTTCGAAGTGATGCAGGTCTAAGACGTTTACCACTTCGATGAAACTCACGAGCACGGGTATGGTTCTGACAAACCTAGAAACATAATCGGGGCGAATCGGGATTTGAACCTACAATCATAGGTTTCTGGCGTGCCCAAGGGACGCAACTCTGCAAAGCGAATCGCGGCGCCTTAGACGACTGGGCCACTAGACTGCTTCTCATATCAAATTCGTTTGGGACGAATTATTTTCAAATATGACTTTCATGAAGTAATTTCTCATTGGCAAATATACGCCGAGCTACACGTCTGTCAAAGAATATGTCCTATTCGGAATCACTAGCTGAGGTGTTTTAGTGTTGTTTCCAGCTTGATGTGCCGATCTTATTTTGTGAGATAATAACTTCCGCAAACATTGAGGGACAGAATTCTACACTCAATAATGTCACTACCGACAAACATTAATCTGTGTATATACATCGCTACGATCTGGGGCACTCCTTGTGTGGACAGTCTTATGAAACATGCCCGCTACAGGAGATTTAGTGATGCGATTGCCATTGCAAACACGACTACACCAGAGTGGGTTTCTGATCTCTTCTGTCTTGTAGATACCTTAATAGAGAATCGGAAAACGTCTCTAACAACGCCCGAAACCATTCAATGTTTCACAAATCGTGCAGTTTATGGTAAGCGAAGCCTTTGGAAAATCGTCCCCGGCAGAAAGGTAAATATGATTTGAATATGAATGTCATAGTCCTAATTAAGCGGCCCGATGTAAATACTGAAGACTTCTTACGGTTTTGTCTGAATTTGACGGCAGCCGTTTCACATTTCTTTGAGGGAAACCGCGAGGGATAGGGATGGGTATCATATCATGCAAATACCCTTTCATCATCCCGAGGCAAGGGAGTTAACTGGCTATAAAAGTCCAGTTTCCACTCTTGCCGAACAAGGCTGGTATTATGGAGTTACATTTTGGCTGGGCTAACGAGTCTATGCATAGTCCAATCAAAATCGCGCAACGAAATCGAAATCCGGTTCGTAAACTGTCGTGCTTATTTCGGTCGATTGCAGGATTTGCAAAACATGTGCACCGCCAACTCGTTGTCAACAGATATTTTCCAAATCTTTTCATGATTTTAATCAAGGTGCTCACGTGATTTGAGGCACTTAGGGATGTAAGACCTGTTTTATCACAATATAGGTCTTGATTATCGTCTTGACTGGGCGCCGCCGATTTGTTTGAATTAAATGCCAGTGACACGAGAGTAGGAATCTGATGTGTCCATAGGAGAGGTTTAAAAGGGACATAACTCGTAGTAACCACTGATGGCGCTACGATCGAGCCCGGGAATTCCAGCCTAGTTCGGCAAGGGTGGAAACTGGACTTTTATAGTTAGTTAACTCTCTTCCCCCGGGAAGATGATACCCTTTATATCCTTGGGACTTTTATTTGGACACATTGACTAATCATGTCAAAGGTCAATATCATCATCGTGGTGAAAGCCTCAAGAAAAGTACCTTTAAATTTAATTTAAAAAGCTTACATGTCATGCTCAGGGCTGGGCCCAGATCTGTAATAGTCAAGAGTCATGTTTAGGGTGAAGGTAATTCGTAAAGTACGTTCGCCATATTCATTAAAATGACATTTTCTGCAGATTGTTTAAAAAGTTTTCTGCACGCAGTGGTAATATCATTTGAATACTTATGTATGACAATTGATAACAGTATTCTGGTAGCAGTGGTATTCTTTCAACAGTGATCTACACTCAATGAGTAGCATGTGCTAGTTCGTGAGGTTTTTTTTATGAGTTTTTTTTTGCTGTATAGCTCTCAGAAATTTTCTTCAAAATACTTGTCACTGATACTGAAGGTCAGACTCACTCTCAAGGTCATTTTGAAAGGTAGTTCCTCTTTATATACGGGGATAGGTCGGAGAGCCCAGTGGTTAAAGTGTTCGCTCGTCACGCCGAAGACCCGGGTTCTATTCCCGACATGGGTACAATGTTGAAGCGGCGAAGCTAAAAGCGGCGTAAAACCATACCCACTCACTCTTTATATACGGAACTAACCGTCTGTGATTGTATATGTTTGTAAGATCAAACAGCGAGGTTTTCAGACAGAAATAATGAAGTATATGATTGGCTGAAATTGGGGGCAAGGCCATTAAACGGGAAGTGCATATAACTTTCATATTAGGGTAGCTAGAAACATTGGATTTTCTGTTTATATCATGCATTGCATTACAGATACGTCCCAAACACAAGAATGAGGTTATCTAATCAGACATTTATGATACTGTTAGTTAATGTGGCAAGAGGCATATCACGTTCTGTTCGAAAATTGCACTGTATATGGCATGAAGTTTTTCCAACCGATATAGGACTTTCTGTTTCCAAATTGTACCACACTTAGTCAATCTAATTAAAATCAGATCTTAGTCACGCTCCCGCTTCACAGTGATCAGAGGACACCTTATTACCTCTCATCCGACCAATCAGAGCGTCGCTTACCAGATCGGGAAAGCGACAGTCGGGATGTATTCTCTGATCATGCAACCTCGTAAAGGTTAACACGGGGTATTCCGAAAGACACTTACGGACTGTCGACTGATTCCATGAAAGTCACCGTCTGTCTCTCCTTCAGTGGGATAAATATTTGAAACGAAAGTGGGAAGTGGGAAGTACTGCCATACAATCCCTGCTATCTGTTAGACATTCCAGAATTTTCTTTTGTTCAGTTTTCAAATTTTGAATGGCCATCTGTCAAAACGTAGTATGACATGGAAGTTGCCAATTTGAAACTAGTAACGTAAAGCTCAAGAGAGCTGCTCTCTGATTGGCTAATCATTGTAAGTCTTTTCTTTGGACGATGAAATCTCGCGAAAGATCGTTTTGATGTGACCTGTATTTAGGGAATGTCCTCAGATCGTTGTGTGGCGGTAGCGAGCACCAAGATCTGATTTTAATGAGATTGCACATTGGGTATATGTTTTCCAAGACAGTGACGTAATGAACTTTAAATCCATATAACTTTGTTATCAAGGAAGCTGGGGGCACAGATAGGGGGCATTCGGAACAGGGTGGAGGTGAGGCGGCTTCTGATATTGCACGTCATGTTTACACGTTTCTGGCTTCACCTGAGTATTTCTTTGCAAGCTGGTTCAACGACAATACATCAGCGTGCTGTTTTATTTCTTCAGGTCATCCATCGTACACACACCACAAAAACTCCCCTGAAAGCACATATTCGTCAAAAGAATGGTGCTCACAAGACGAGCCGAAAGCCCGCCAGGTCAGCTGTGAGAGGTACACACACCATACGCTATATCACATTAACAGAGACAGTTCGGATGGGCGCTGTGCTGAGTGGCGTCCCGTACACATGCCGAAATTTCATTATTCAAGATTTGGTCCCACATTAACATACATGTGTGTAAGACCCGTGAAGATTCCGGGGTAGAAAAGGTCTTCAGCAACCCGTGCTTGCCGTAAAAGGCGACTATGCTTGTCGTAAGAGGCGACTAACGGGATCGGGTGGTCAGGCTCGCGGACTTGGTTGATGCAAGTAATCGATCCCAATTGCTTGGATAGATGTTCACGATGTCAATCACTGGATTGTCTGGTCCAGACTCGATTATTTACAGACCGCCGTCATATAGCTGGAATTTTGCTGAGTGCGGCGTAAAACAACAAACCAACCAATCAACATATTTATTACTGAAATACAGAGCACGGTTAAACCCACGTCACTCTTGCTTCGCGGAAATTCCGATATCTCAGGCAACCTATGCTTTTCGTAGGGAGTGACTAAATTAATCTGCTGGACTTGCTTGAATGCGTATTATCGTATCCTAAGCTCTCAAGCCTGGCTACTGGATACATGTGGTCTCCTTAGGGATCTCTAGATCTTCTAACCCCGAATATCCATGGGATAGCACCCGCGGTCATACATGTATGGCTGTAATTATGCGTGTGGCGTCGACCATCAAAACAGACAAATACTAGCGTTTGGTTGTTATTGTATTATTTTTTCAGAGAGTAAATATAGCAAGTCATCGTTTATCCTGATATTTGACATACCAAACAAGATCGTCTACAAACTGAAGGAAGGGAAGCATTATACCAAATATGTCTTACCTACGAGCGACCGCTTAGTAGATATTGAATTCTCTGTCAAAGAAGGCAAGGTCTTATGGGTTGGACAGTGGAAGATCATGGCAACTCGCCTGAAGTCCAACCTCAACGCAAATGACATCTCACCTCACAGATGGTTGGAACAAGGTAGGCAGTATGGTGGTGGGGAAGCGGGGCGGGGGAAGCGGCGGAGGTGCGGGGAAATGGGGTTTGACGTCGCGCTCAAGATTATTGATGTGTGTGTCTCCTGGAAGTAGTTCGGACTAAAGCCTGTTTAATAATGCTAGCCCACTGAGATACCATGCCGCAGTCTAACATGAATATCCCACTCAGACACAGTATGCTGACGTCGCACTTAAGATTATTGCCGTGTGTATGTGTGTGTGTCTCCTTGAAGTAGTTCGGACTAAAGCCTGTTTAATAATGCTAGCCCACTGAGATACCATGCCGCAGTTTAACTTGAATATCCTACTCAGACACAGTATACTCCGAGCCTACCAGTTCTTGTTTTATCCAATACTGCCGGCTGCCAGGCAGGGTTACAACAAGTACCCTCTTTTAACGTCTTTTGGTATGATACGCCCGGGGATCGAACCCCCAACCTTCCGCTCTCCGGGCAGACGCTCAACCACTAGTCTACGGAGGAGACGGTCATCACGTGGTGGTAACGTTGTACAGCGGGAAGATGAAAACCATGATCATAAATATACTCTTCACACAATTTAAGGGATAGTCGGAAAAAAATTAAAATTTCCAAAATTGTAATAGATTTTACTTTCTAGTAACAGTTGTATGATAATAATGAAGGAATTGTGAACACATTCCAACCGGTAGTGAAGTATGACAGCAGATGGGGGTGGGGACATTGGATTTTCTTTCTCTTACAGTTACAAAACATACTAAGGCATAATTCTTCCATTATCCAGAATTTTCGGGAACAATTGAAAGCGATCTTCATTTATCCATGCTCGGTAGTTTTGGCTTATTTTGAACAAATTATTTACATATACTGGTGGAAATAAATAAGAGAACACTTAGTTTTAGACACAGTAGCATGATATACTTCCATAAGTTCCCAGTCTTGCCTACCAAATACGCGTTTGAAACAACGCACCCAAACACATCTCAACATTGGATTCTGACATGTGTTGAATTATGTTTTAGCGCTATTTTAAATGTACTGACAGTAAAGCTTATTTCCCTATATTTTTCATTTTTTCCATTATTCGTTTCCATCAGTATATATGTTCAAGCATACTGAGTAGCTATTGATTTCACCAAGACTAGCTTTCTGCCTAGTTACAGTCTCATAGGAAGTACTGGGCGTAACGTGTACGTTTATCAGATTCCACACTGAACATTTCCGAACCACTTTGATTGATGATGTTTCAGATGGACTTCGAATGGTTAGAAGGGACTCAAGTCATACTTTCCTGTTAACCGACCAGCACATTTATAAGTCCAGCTACCATTACTCGAGCCGTTCACGCAAGGACAAAATTGCAAATATTGTTTCCCCTTCTCATGCCCAGTTGGATGAAAAACACAGGCAAGTAAAATGACTGTAATGTGATAAATCAGATGTTGAGTTAAAATGTGTAAGTGGCTAAGGTTTTTTACGACGCTGTTAGCGATATTCCAGCAATATCACGGTGGGGGGAGATCACAAAGGGGATTGACACGTTGTACCCATGTAGGAATCGAACCCGGGCCTTCGGCGTGACGAGCGAACGCTTTAATCACTAGGCTACTCCTCGCTCCATTTAAATAGTGACCTGCATGGGATGGGCAATAGCTTCCATGCTTTATAGAGTTACTGTCATTCTCATCTGCGGTCTGACCCGTGAAGATTCCGGGGTAGAATAGGTCTTCAGCAACCCGTGCTTGCCGAAAAAGGTGACTATGCTTGTCGTAAAAGGCGACTAACGGGATCGGGTGGTCAGGCTCGCGGACTTGGTTGATTCATGTCATCGATCCCAATTGCGCGGATCGATGCTCATGATATTAATCACTGGATTGTTTGGTCCAGACTCGATTATTTACAGACCGCCGTCATATAGCTGGAGTATTGCTGAGTGCGGCGTAAAACAACAAACCAAACTAAAACCAAATCATCTGCGGTCTTAGGCTTGACCGAATTGAGATAAGTCTGGCTTAATGAAATATCAAGTCCTTGATCAAACATTAAATTTGACAAGACATTTTAGATCAAAAACAAAACCCGTTATTGGTTTTACTGTGGCTGCTCTTGTTTTCACGAAAACCCGTAGTTACGTCTTGACCCGTAGCCCACGACCGTGATACATGGACGAACCGATAATAGGCGATACGTAATCTGCAGATACTTTTACAAGTGCATATTCTTTATCTGTAGGGAATACTGTTAAAAGCTGCGTTAAACTCAACTCACTCACTCACTCACTTTATCTGTAGATATATCTACTGGACAGAACATTTCACATACATGGCAAAACTCAAGGTGGTCCCGTATTCTGGAGGAAAGCCACGGACAATCACTTCGGTTAAAGTGATGCAAAGTTTTACCATCACCGAAGACGGTAAGAAACCAGTTATTTCACTTTTAGTAGACACACATCTGGCAATTAACTTTTTGTGGTTTCCGTCGAAACGAAAGCTATTTTTCAACACATTTCACACTTCAATGATGAGGTTCGGTTCGTGAATTGTTCACTGGCTTGTATACACAATGTTTGTCCTGCAATGCATACGGTCTAGATGTGGCTTCCGGACACCTTCCCAGTTTGTCTCCCGGATGTTTCATGGCCCGTAAAACTACCCTAAATATCGTCAGAAAGTTTGTACAGTTATGTCAAATACATATAAAAATCTGTAAATTAAAAAGGGAAGTGAAGGTATCCGGAAGCAGATTTTCTCCATATTTTGTGTGCAGTAAGTAAGATTAACCTGGTTGATCAGACACCTGCAATATTTATCTGGTTCATTTTATTCCTCAGCATATTCAAAAATTGAGAACCCTGGCCATGCAGTTTTTTAGATGTAGACTTTATTGTGAAGAACAAATATGAGTTCTTATGTATCATAGTCACAAAGATTCATGTTCATTCTTTCTGTTTGATCTGAGAAAAATATTGAAATATTTGACCGATCGTCAAAAGGTTTCAAAGGAACATCTACTTGTAATTACTAGTTCTATATTCAGTTCTGTTCAGTAAATATACACAACTGTACCTCCATTCCTTGATCTGCAAATTAGCAGGTACAAAAAGGGGCGAATAACGGGATCGAGTGGACAGGCCCGCTGACTGGGTTGATGCATGTCATCAAATCCCATTTACGTGGATCTATGCTCATGATATCAACCAATGGATTGTCTGGTCCAGACTCGATTATTTATAGACTGTCGTTATATAGCTTGAATATTTCTGAGTGCGGTGTTGAACAACAAACAAACAAACAATCGTCATTGTTTTACGCTGAAGGCCATAGTGCCATTGAGGAAGACCGATGGTGTCATTTCACTCGAGTGACATCAATTCTATATGTGCAGTAAATGTAGCATTTCATCATTGAATACATAAATATTTTTTCTTCTTCAGGGTTCTATTTGTTCTATTGTGGACCAAAGCCTCGATTTACTCTGATGCACAACTTAAAGAAAGACAAGAAATATAGTACTATCACGGATGAGTGCATCGGTGTTGCCAATGGGGACGATGCACAACTTTTCCTCACATCAAGGCAAGGAGAGTACAAAAGCCTTAAAGGACAGAAAAACAGAAATATTACTATGTTCTTAAACGAGCAACAAATTCTTCTTTAATCAACTGATCTCACGAAAACACTTCGTATCTCGCACATCAGATTCTGGATTGGGTTTGTTTGTTTGTTGTTTAACGCCGTACTCAGCAATATGCCAGCTATATGTATATGTAAATAATCGAGTCTGGACCAGACGATCCAGTGTTTAAAATCATGAGCATCGATCCACACAATTGGGATCGATGACATGCTTCAACCAAGTCAGCGAGCCTGACCACCCGATCCCGTTAGTCGCCTCTTACGACAAGCATAGTCGCATTTTACAGCAAGAATGGGTTGCTGAAGACCTATTCTACCCCGGATCTTCACGGGTCTCTGGATTGAGTGTTACATGAAACAACCTTTCACACGATACAACAGGCGCTGAATAAAGTATTCTGTGTCATGTTCTTATTGCAGGATCCTTGTGACGGTGCCCAGAAAGGGAAAAAGCTCCTGGCATTCCTTTCCTACCATTCATAAAGGTGGTGTAAAGGTTTGTAATCCAACGACGACGTTCGTGTTAACGGCGGTATATGTTTTGTAATGCTATCAATTGGTTAAATTTTATGTCTAATTATTGTTACTATAAGAAGTGCATCGTACCCAGACTAGCTGAAAGAAAACAACCTTTTTGTGTTTTGTTTATTTATGTATTAATTATATTTTTTATTTTTCAGTATATCAAATAAAAGTAAAGGGCACATGGGCGTAAACACAAAAGGATGCGCCGGCTTACACAGATCACAGAAACCACCTACCTTTTTGAGGCTTCCTGTACATGTATATTATAACCTTGAGAAATAAAAATTCAATCATATCTATTGCCTTCGTTTGCAGACATTAATATGCTCATCACAGCAGGCACGTTGTTGACTACGTTGTGCAATGACGTTGCAACAACGTTGCTTTGTGTCGTATACTACTCAAAAGAAGTTAAAAAGACCCACTGATCATATAACTGTGGTTAATCGGTCATGGCTGGTGGGTATTGCACCCTTCTAATAATTATTGTGTGTTCTTGTTTTTAGTAGTTCATATGAAAGTTGAAAGAACGTATATTTCTAGCTCACCTGCTTGAAGGTCAGGTAAGCTTGTGTCGTCTTCATTAGTTGTAAACATCATCAACACCCGTGAAGATCCGGATTAGAATAGGTCTTCAGCAACCCATATTCGCCGTAAAAGGCGACTATGCTTGTCGTTAGAGGCGACTAAGGGAATCGGGTGGTCAGGCTCGCTGATTTGGTTGATGCATGTTATCGATCAAAATTGCGTGGATCGATGTTCATGATGTCAATCACTGGATTGTCTCGTCCAGACCGCCGTCATATAGCTGAAATATTGCTGAGTGCTGCGTAAAACAACAAACAAACAAACAAACAAATGTAAACATCATCTCATGAACCACTCGACTAATGAAGCTGAAAGCTCTTCTGGTCTATAAGATGCGGCAGAGGTACAAATATAATAAAATAGTTTATTATATACTTCAGTGTGAAAGACTGAGTTTTCTGAATTTGAGAAAAGTGATATTTTCATTGCAGTGAACATAACACTTGATATTTCACTGTAGTGAACATAACACCTGATATTTCACTGCAGTGAACATAACACGTTGACGGAACTATGTTGGCCTACACGAGACAGCTCGTACACAAACTGTTGATTTACGTCAGTTCCAAGTTGACAAGTCATATAATGACAGATGGTCATTTATGTAGTTAATACCGATTCTTACTGTTTGTTATTTTGTTGAAAATGATTTGTATTAAACTGTGAATTTCTCTTCTGATTTGTCAGTCGATACTTTACGTTTCGCAAAGCGCCATTTTGTTACTTGAATTGCGTGTATTCTTTCGCTTCGAACAACCGTCTTATTGATTTGAAATTTATTTTTTGATGAAGTTGATTTTGTATATAAACATATCCAAATATATACTAAAGAATTTTAGTGACATCAATATTTTTGGTTACTTATGTTTATATTTTTTAAGATTTAGCAAAGACGGAACTACATTTTTAGTCGTACTTACAAGGGGTGGAAAACCGTCCATGTGTGTTATGTAGGGAGAATTTACGCTTGAAGGTTTTACATTTGTAATGAAATAATTTAATCTTCCTGCAGACAACTACACCAAAAGTATATAATAAATAGGATATTTCATGTGTCGAGTGAAATATCATGTTTCTCGGGAAAATATCTCCTTTCCACCCCGTCACTCGGTGAGAGAAACATGATATTTCACTCGACACATGAAATATCCTCTATGTATATACTTATTACTAGTCCGGCAGAGAAATGAATATTTTTCCCCCAACCCAGAATTAGGGGATAAAGTTTTTTTTATTGCTGGATTTGTTTAATGATGTACTCTAGAAACTGACTGATGACACTCCGTCATCTTTGGGCATTTTGAAATATTCAAGATGGCCGACAAGATGGCCGCCAAAACATGAAAATATCGCTTCCTTGCTAATAGTATGGAATATGATACCACTTTTGGAGCAAATCACTAATATTTTGCTTTCAACTAATTAGAATATGGTATTCTAAATGAACTGGTATCATTTAAAACATAATTTGATTCTTAAATAAGCAAGATAACTGGCAAAATGCCTGTCGAAACATTATAAAAGTCAACAAGCACGGGATTCTTTTTAAGGATAATTGATTATTCTGAACTTTCAAAAATGAATATTGGCTCAAGGTTTTCTTCACATACATACAATCAGTTTAGGTTTCTTCCTCATCATCAATAACACGGTTAGTGAGTGGCCCTGGGTTGAAGCAGACACTGGAGCTACAGGAGCAGAATACTGTGCGAGGTAACTGGGCGTGACTGCAACCACATCGATTCGTCCTACAAGGTGTATCACTGCCACAAGTGTACTTCACAAGTTTCAAAATATAGTGTGGTGCTAGTGTAACACTTTCAGGTAGAGTAACTGGAAGAAGGCACTTGGATGTAATGTCTTTGTGGAACCCAAACTGGGTTGGATCCATCGCAGGCGGGTCTGGCTGTAACGCAGCCTTCCACACACTGGTTTGGAGATGTGCCCGCTTCACATTTTCCAAAAAGGCTTCATCTGTTGGCGGTAAAGTTGAGAGCTTGGGAATTTGAGTACAGCCTCTTCCAGTTTTGGTTGCCCAAACTTGTAAGCGAGCTTCTGTAATAGATGTGCAGTTTGGTTTGCCAAAGCACACTGCAATGAATTGAGTTGCTTGTAAAGTGATTGCGGGTAAATCTGCTGTAGGATCTCCAAGCAGTGAGAGAGAGTGACCGTCCTTTAATGCCTTGACCAATTTTCCTTTACCAATCCCAAAACATGATGCTGTTGTATCACAACCACTCAATGCATGTGCTGCAAGTAGGTCTAGAACGATAGGTTCGTTTTTGGAAACAGAAGCTCCAATATCAATGACAGTGCGCTCCAGAACAGGTGACTCCATGAATACATGTACCTTGATATTCTGTAAGTAGTAGAAATGTAACAGCAGGAGGAATACATCGGTATCATCTGACAGAACAGTCACTGGATGGATTCCATCTGATGCTACTTTAATTGCTTGTTGGACAATTATGTTGTCAGCTTCTTCATGCGTTGTGGCAATGTCATGTCTGATGGATATGATGCCATTGAACACCTCATGTGGGACATTATTCTCTCCTGTAATGACAAGTTTGTGATCTTTGGTGTGAACATGAAGCAGATCATCGTCATTAAGGAGGTCATGGGAAATCAAGTTTATCAACGCATGTTTGTTTTCTTTGACTGTGAGGGTAACCTTCTGGGGAGGTAAGATTGTTGACACCTTCATGTGATGAACTCTACTGCTGGCATTCGTTGTTCTTCCCTGCCTTGTGACATCCTTAGTGCTGTACTCCTTGTAGCAGTCAAATACCAAAAACACATCTCCAACTTTCAATTTTGATATAATGTTAGCTTTGAAACCTAGCAAAAAATCTAGGACTGTTCCCCATTCTGGCCAGCGAATGACCCACAGCAATGCTGATCCATCAATAATCAAGGCTGTTGTCTGATTATCTGTTTGACGAGAAGATACTGGTACTTGTAAAATACGTTTCATCGTGGACTTTGCCTTGCAAACTCTCATTTCTCCAGCGTCGCTGAACATGGAAGTAGGAACTGGTGCCAATTCATGAGAAAATACATGCTTAATGTCAACATCACGAGAGCTGGCCTGCAGACCAATAACACGAGAGTAGATCAAACTTGTGTCGAAAACTTTAATTGATCCAATATTGATATTCTTCTTTGCAGATCCATTGTAACAACCTTTTTTGGAATGTTTTCATGAAAGCTGTTTGGCCATCCACTCTCAAAGCTTTCCATCTGCTTTGTTCCAATAGATACTGCATCGTGAACGTTAACTGCAGAAAAGGAAACCCTGCTGGAAACGATGTTCACAAGATCTTCAGGATGAGTTTCTGGCTTCATTGGATCAATGAAAAGTTGAAGCTGCTGTCGAATGTTCTCCCTGTCCTTGGCATCCGAGTCTATTCTTGATTTGTTTTCTTCTTTGTGTTTCTCCTGTCGCGTTTCCACATTGCGTTGACTGATCTTAAACACATCTTCCTCTAATTGTGTGCAAATGTGGAGACTTAATGCCAATGTCTTTAGCGTTCCAGGCCTCAGGGTAACTCCAATTATTCCCCCTTGCCCATGACCATATCTCATAAATGTTGTTTCGATCCACATATCACTCCAGATACCGTTCCAGTAGCCAGGTATGTGTCTCATTACATGATCAGCCGCAAGAAAGTGTTCTTGGATTTTGATGGGCATAGCTTCAGTGGACCTAAGATAGAACAGACCATATCTGGCATAATGTGTATGGCCTGCAGCAAAGAAGTACGGCATCATTTGTTTAACTGCTTCAAGGTGCAACGACAAGTCACCTTCCCTCTCTGCCCTCACATACATCATCATAATGAAAACAGGCTTGATGAGAACGTCAACCCACATCTTTGTGGTCTTGCTTACTGAAGAGAGAGTTTGCAGTTTAAGTTGAATTTGATTGCCACTGCTGATACTGCCAGGTGCAAGCACACTTCTCAAAATCTCTTCTGCCACCATACGAAGAGCTCTGACGTTCTGTGGAAATTTCTTGCCTGACAGCATCTTTGGCACACCAGCAAACACATTTCCCATTACCTCTTCCAGACCACTATTTGCCATGAGTGATCCTACTGATCCTACAAAGCTCATCAGTAGGTGCATACCTCCTAGCCGTAGAACAACATTGGAGAATCTGTCTGGATACACCCCCATCACATGAAGGGCAACTCTGTAAAGTTGTTGATCACAGGTGAATACGGTAATCTCTTGACCTGTCATTTGAGTCAGACGCTGAGCCTCAACTAAGGAAGTCATCATGGTATCAGGGTGTGATGGAGTCATGTCTATGAGTGGTTGGTATGAAGCAGAGGTGCTTGGTTTCAAGGTTCCACCATTTTCCCAAGAGAATCGGGTGTTGTATCCATTGAATTCTGGGCACTCGTCTGTTGTTACTGCATCCTTTAAGAAGAGAAAATCCTTCACCTTAGCTTCATGTGATGACACAACACATTGGCACAATACCTTCAAAAGCAGTGGTGACTTCAGTCTTGCAGTTTCAGGCATTGCCGGCTTCTCAGGACCATGATAGCGAGTAATGACAGGCTCATAGTCAATAGGCATTGCCATATCTTCCTTTCTAATTCGCGTGATCAGAGCTTTGATGTCAGAGGAGTTAACAGATCCATTGTCAGTTGTTCCTGTCTGTGCTACGAGCATTGCTAGGGAGTGTGTTGACTG